GTCGAGCGGTTCCACTTCTATCCACTTTGTGAAGTAGTCTACGGCGACCACCAAGTACTTCTTGTCCAGATGAGCCGTGGGGAATGGTCCCAATAGATCTAGGCCCCACTGTGCGAATGACCATGGTCCTATGATGCTCTTCAGCTGCTCGCTGGGCATGTGTTGCTTGCTGGCATGGACTTGGCACTCGTGTCATCCTTGGACCGCCTCCATCGTGTCCTTCTTTACGGTCGCCAGTAGTACACTTGTAGTAACACCATTCTCTCAAGGCTTCTTGGTCCAGAATGCGACGCGCAAGTGCCTTGGTGTATTTCTCTTATTACCCATTTTGCTTCTTCTGGTCCAAGGCACTTCAAGTATGTTCCCGAGAAAGATCTTTTGCACAACTACCCTTCAATTATGGTGTAGTGAGCCGCCTTCCGTCTTAGTGCCTTGGCTAAGACAGTGTCTGTGGGACCACATCCCTTTGCAGGTAGTCGACCAGCGGAGAGCATCAGTCGCGGATCCCGCCTTCCACGGTCATGACATCATAGCTAGAACCAGCCTCCTTTGTTACGGTTACCTGGCGGTCCCCCCTCGAAGTCCATTGCGGTTGCTAGTTTGGATAGGGCGTCGGCATGGGGATTATCTTCCCTCCTTATATGTTCCCACTTCCAGGTTTCCAATCGGGACAAGATGCATTTGATCTGTCCTGCAAACTTTGTGAGAGCTTCTTCTTTTACCTCATAATTTTCCATAACCTGGTTGACTACCAATAGCGAGTCAGAGTAGATGTGCAGATGAGAGGCTCCCAAATTTATGGCGATCTTCAAACCGCTCAGTAGTGCCTCGTACTTAGCTACATTGTTGGTTTTCGGTTCGTGAAACCTGTGTGAGATTTCATGTATCACTCCTTAGGCATTTTGATAACAATTCCTGCCCATGCTCCTCCTTTTCATGCGGCTCCATCGATGAAAAGGCCCCACACCACTGCTTATTCCTTATATTCGGTGGCCTCCAAGCTAAAGCCTTCGACGACGAAATCTGCGAGCACCTGCCCTTTGATAGAGGGTCGTGGAGCGTATGCAATGTCATGCTCGCTTAGTTCGACCGCCCACTTGGTCATTCTTCCAGACACGTCCATTCCCTTTAGGATCTTTTTCAGTGGGAGGTTCGAGAGAACCGTGATATGGTGTTCCTGGAAGTATGGGCGCAGCTTTCTTGAGGCCGAAACGACGACGAGGACCGCCTTTTCTATTGGCATGTACCATGTTTTTGCTGGGAGAAGCGCCTTGCTGACGTAGTAAACGGGATGGTCAGAGCCATCCTCGGATCTACGCACCAGGACTAAGCTAACCGCTTGCTCAGAGACCACCAAGTAAAGATACAGAGGTTCATTTTAGAGCTTGGCGCTTAGAATTGGCGGTGAGACTAGTTGCTCTATTAGCTGGAAGAAAGCTTTGTTGCACTCAGCGCTCCATTGTAGTCGTGATGCCGAATTTTTTCAGCATTTGAAAGAACTGGACACACTTGTCTGATGTCCTTGGGATTTCCTTGACCGTCTTCGGCGGTTTTAAGTTGGTTATGGCTTCTATTTGCTTTGGGTTTGCTTCTCAAAGATTCGAAAGTTTCCTTCCAGTCTTTGAGGTGGTCATCCTCCTTTTTGCTTTTGACGAGGACGTCGTCGACGTATGCTTCCACGTTTTTTCTCAACTACTTCTTGAAGACGGCGTCTATCATTCTCTGATATGTGGCTCCTGCGTTCTTCAGTCCGAAGTGCATGACTGTGTAGCAGAAGTTTCCCATGTGGGTCATGAAAGCAGTTTTCTCTTGATCTTCTTCGGATAACCGAATTTGGTGGTATCCGAAGAACATATCTAGGAACCTCATACTTTCGTGGTTGGCGGTCGCGTCCATAAGTTGGTCTATCCGCGGGAGAGGGTATGCATCCTTGGGACAAGCCGCATTAAGGTTTGTAAAGTCTATGCACATTCGCCACAATCCTGATGCTTTGCGGACAAACATCGGGTTTGCTAGCCACGTTGGATACTTGACCTCCCTTATGAATCTCGCCTTCAGCAACCGCTTCACTTCCTCTTCCAATGTCATTTGCTTCTCCAATGAGGCGTTTCTCCTTCTTTGTTGTATGGGCTTGGACCTACGTTTTACCGACAACTCAGCGAGCTCCCTAGAGACGCTCGGCATGTCCTCTGAGGACCACGCAAACAGATCTTTGTAATCGTTGAGAAGAGCCAATAGCTCCCACGCCTTCTCTTCTGAGAGGTGAGATGAGATTCTGACCTTCTTTTTGGGCTCTTCTTCACTGAGGACCACCGCTGCATCCTCTTCAACCGCTTCTGAGCGGGGATGGCTTCCTCGTGTATCAACCAGGTCGACTTCTTCAACCGCTTCAGGGTGTTTCCCAAGACACGTGCAACATTTTCTCCCGTAGGAAATTTGAGCATCTGATGACATGTGGATGGGACCGCTGAGAATGTTGACAGTAATCCACGCCCTAGGATCGCATTGTAGGCCGACGGGCAATCGGCCACGTGGAAGTCCATGAGGCGTATTTTCATGACTCCCAACACTTGGATTTTCGAGCCTGAGAATCCCATGAGGCTGGTCGCCGACGGCTTAAGATCTTGTATACTCTTCTTCATGCTCTTGAGTGTGGAATAGAATAAGATATCTGTTGAGCTTCCGTTATCTACCAGCGCCCTTGTGACTTTGAACTTTCTTGTTCAAAAAGAGATCACCAGCGGGTCTTGTCCACACTCTTCGGCTGCTAGTTCTGAGGGCGCGAAGCTAATCTCCACATGTTCGCTCCTGTGAACATTCAAGCACCAGACCAGGCGGTCCCCTTGCGTTCTGGGGCGTTTGCGCCCTCCTGCTATTGTTATGACCTCCACATCATCTTCGTTTAGACGAGGTTGTCGACGGGGAGGAGACCTTCTCGGCGGAGGCGGCAAGCGCTCTCGACGTGGAGACTTCTCCCTCCTCGGCGACCTTGACCTTTTTCTCCTTGGTATGTGAGATCTCCTTCTCGAACTCGACGATCTCTCCTTTTCCTGCCTTCTTTTGTGGCGATTAGGTCAGGTATCCTAGTGGTTCTTCAAGTCCCCAGGCTCTAGGTATTTGAGGCTAGATTTGAACTCACGACACTCTGCGGTGTCGTGAGTGGGCATCTGGTGCTAGTCACACCACTTTCAGTCGTCTTCTTCCCTATGTGTCTGGTGCGCCTCCTTCGTACTACTTCGTTCCCCTCGCATCTCTTCTTTGTTAGTAGTAAACACTTCGCGCCTGTTGTGGCGGTTGGAGTATCGCGGCTTATAATTTCTCCTGTCTGGTGAGCGCCCTCTTCTCTTTGGCGATCCTCATTCTTTTTTCTCAGCTTTCTCAACTCTGGGGTTGATGCGCTTGGCTCCGTCTTCCGCTATTAGCGCTTCTTTTGGCAGAATCTCTTTCCTAACTAGGCGATCCAGATCAGGCGCCAAGACTTCAACACGTGCTCTTTTTTTATAAGAGCTCTCTTTAGCTCGCAACTGTGTGTCGACATTCGTAGGTTACCCGCCGCTATGCTTGGTGAGATTCCTTGCACTTCGCAGGCTATGGTGTTCCACCTATCGTAGAAGCTCGTCAGCGTCTCTTCTCCTCCCTGCTTGCAGTTGATAAGCGCTGACACGGTGAGCTTCCTTCTTCTCTGGGACGCGAACTTTGATGAAAACAGCGTGACAAACTGTTTGAACTTCTCAATTATCCCTTCTGGCAGGGAGGTGTACCAGGTTCGGCACTGATCGCCAAACATGACTGGGAACGCCTTGCATAGATCTGCGTTCGAGGCGTTGATCAGTTGCATTTTGAGCATGAAGGCGCTTAGATGGTCCGTAGGATATGAAGTCCCATCGTAAGTTGGCAGCCCCAGCGACGAGAAGTTGGGTGGGACCTGTGTCCTGAACAAGCTTTTGGCTAGGGGTTTTTGGAGTATGTTGTTATGCGTCTTTCCTTTTCCATACGACGGTCTGAGGTGCTCCTCTAGAAAACCCAAACTGAGATCTTCCCCGCTCTCTTCTTTTTCGGACTCCTCGCCTTCTATCTGAGCAGGGCTGCCAGGATCCTCTTCCCTTTCCCTACCCTTCGTCTTCTGCCTTATTGAGCTTTCCGACAAGTCCTTTTCCTTTTCGGACGTGCTCTTCTCTTTGAACATTGCCAAGATCTGACCCAGGCTTTCTTGTATGCTGGATATTTGCTGCCCCTTGCTCTTAATGCGGTCTTCCATCTCCATCTCTTCCTCCACAATAGGCATTTCCAAAACCGCGAATGTTGCTTATTTCTACTACACCCTTGACTGGGGTCCCGGAGCTCCCTTCCATCCTTTCTTCAGTGCTTCACTCTGCCCCACGGTGGCGCCAAATTGTTTGAGCCTAGAATGTTCTAGGCGCTAGAAGGAGGTGCGAGTGAGGCGTTTGTTCTTGATGTTGGGTGCCCTCCTAACCACTGCAAAACAAGGGTTCCTGGGCGGTTGCCTAGGACACTCTCCAATGCTTAAGTTAGATAGAGAAGTAAGAATGTGTGTTTATGTTTAGAGAGAGAGAAAGTAGTTGAGGTTACCATCAATGCTGATCTCGAGGTATTTATACCCAGTTAGGCTGAATGTATAGCATTAAATGCTCTGTCAGGCGTCCTAACTAGATACTGCTTTACCAGAACCGCCTACGACGACTAATCAATTCTCAGTCCTGCTTGTTTGAGGCACGTATCTCTTGGAGAGATCTCCTCCTGTCACGATCAGTACTTTATATCAGGCGGCCTATGCATGTCCCGTCTCTAGGCTAAATGCACGTCACGCATCGGGCCTCCCACTGGGCCTGGCTCGGCTATCTCTATGAGGCCTAAGGTCCAATACAGCTCAACTATGGGCCCAACAGAAATATTTAATTATTATATTGTTTTGACTTAAAGAAATTAATCAGGGGACGAAAAAAAAGAACGAACAAAAAAAAGAACAGTAGATTAGAGCACAAATCGAAAGAAGACAGCACAGAAGGCATATAGAGAGTAGAGAGAGATAGAGAATGAGCAAGCCAGAGAGAGAGGCTTCCTTCATCGGCAAAACATAAAAAAAGGGCGAAGTTTTCTCAGCAACCCACCACCACCAGCACAGTCGAAGAAGAAGACACCACACGGTGGCGCCTGCTCTCCGGCGAATCGGACAAAGAGGACAAAGCAAAACCCCGAAATTCACAATCATCGCTGACAATTCTCCAGGTTTCCCCCTTTTCTTTCTTTCTTTATCATTGAAGACAAAAAGTTTTTAAAAAAATGGAATGGGTCCTTCCTTCCTTCCGTTGACAGTGTACTTCTAGCCGTCTCTTTATCAGAAAAGAATATTTCAAAATGGGTAAAGAGATTTGGAACTTGTGGTGTGAATCTGAACTGTGGGTTTATCCGAATCAGGTGTTTATGAGAGTTTGTAAATGAGAGGTGAGGGGAATCAGAATCATCAGGAGGGAGACGAGTACGAGGACGAGGAATTGGTGGCGGTGGGTTCCAGAAATGATGGACCTTCTTCCAATATCTCTACAGCTAACAGCAACAGAACTAACAATAACAGAGGTACAATATGATGGGCTTCTTTTGGTTCTTCGTTTCACCCCCCTGCTAGATCCAGCTCTGTTTTACTTTGCTTTTGTTCCCTTTTAAGAATTCAAAGCCTTGTTTTTTCGCCTCCTCTGAGACTTGCTGTCGCTTGGTGGGGTACTGAATTCTCATTTCTGAATTCTGGGCATGGGAAAAACTTGTAGCTTTCATGTTAATTGTGTCTGTTCTAAAAACTGGGGGTTGTTGAGCTTCCCACTCAATTTGTTCTGAATCAAGTTCTTGTCTTTTGGTGTCTTGATGTGGGATTTTGGTGTGGCAGCAGATGGGAAGAACAGTGACAAGGCTAGTGCTGTGAGATCTAAACATTCTGTGACAGAGCAGCGACGGAGGAGCAAGATCAATGATAGGTTTGTAACTTGTTCCTGAGGTCTTCTAACTTATTCCTTAGCTTCTATTGTGTTTTTGAAAAGTTTGGTTATCCTAGACTTGGTATTTGTCCATTGAGAAGTTAAATAGAATTGATTTAAGAATGGGGTTATCTAATTAATCAATCTCAATGCCTTTCAGGTTTCAGATACTCAGAGAACTTATTCCTCAATGTGATCAGAAGAGAGATACGGCTTCCTTTCTATTAGAGGTAACATTTAACAACGTTACTGAATGGTAATCTACAAATAAATTTGGTTTATGAAGCTTGTTCTTCTGCTGACCAGAAACCAAAATGCAGGTGATTGAATATGTCCGATACTTGCAAGAAAAGGTGCAAAAGTATGAAGGTTCCTACCAGGGGTTGAGTACTGAGCCGACAAAGTTGATGCCATGGGTAAAGCTCTAAGCTTTTTCTGTACAGAGCTCACCTGAATGTTTCTGCCCACCACCCCATTTCAGACACTATACGTTTCTGATGTTGACTGCTTGCCTTGGCTGCCATAACATGTTACGCTGTTATGTGTCATTTTACGGATTTTTTGGCTCGTGGTATGTGGGCTACCACCACAATGCTGGTGTGCTCAATCATGCACATTGGTTCTTTTGTCTCTATGGATGTCTGGTCTTGTGTGTGCAAATTTGCTCATGGAACATACTTGAGAAATCAAGAAAAAAGGACATCTTAATATTGGCATGCTTTAATATCCCAATAATGGATACTTCCTGATTCTGATTGAACTTCTTTTTATTCCCCCTACCCTCCCCCTTCTGTTAGTCATGTGATGTGTTCACTCCACCTGCTTAGGATTCCCTTCAATAAGAGGTATATTGTTGATTTCATGTCCTTAGACATCATTCAGCTATGGTTTTAGTTCTTAACTCTTGATTGGTGTGTTGGAGTTTATGATTTATTTAACTTAAAAAAACGTTATGTTTATTAGTGAGAAGATTGACACCTGCTGGTACTCCTTGAAACAGAGAAATAGTCATTGGCGTGTTCAAAGTTTTGAAGGTCATCCACAAGCCATAAATAATGGTTCTGGTTTAGGACCGGTGTTTCCCAGGAAATTTGATGAGAATAACATTGCTGTTTCCCCCACCATGCTTGCAAGTGCACAGAATACTCCTATGGAACCTGATCCATCACAAGATGCAGCATGCAACAAAGCCATGGATCAGCACCAACCTGACCTAACAAACAAGGGCTTCTCTCTTCCCACCAGGCGCTTGCAAACAACTATCCCTCTTCAACAAGCATACTCAGATCCACAATCAGTCGAGTGTGGTGTGACTGGAGATTCGCTGAACCAGGCGGAAGAACTGAGTATTGAAGGAGGGACAATCAGCATCTCCAGTGCCTACTCTGAAGGGTGGGTTTCATCCTTTCTACAGATGCGTGCTTCCAGTTTTACGTCTAATTCCTAACGATTGTGGCATTCTGGGTATATCAGGTTGCTGAATGCCTTGACACAAGCTCTACAGACTGCAGGAATAGATCTCTCACAAGCAAACATTTCAGTGCAAATCGATCTTGGGAAACGAAGCAACAGAGGGTTGACTTCTGGGACATCAGCTAATAAGGTAAGATTGCGCAATCAGGATCAGATGAATCCTCATCGAAGAACAAAGCAAGTTAAATTTGGATACACGTTGTTTGGCCAATAATATTATCCTATCTTCTTCCTTCCAGGATATTCAGAACCCTGTTGCCAACCATCAATCCACAATTCATTTGAGGGATGTAACTAGTGAAAGAGACTCTGACCACTTCCTGAAGCGCCTGAAAACTTAGTCTTTGCTAGGGTTACTTTTTCTACTGTCCTTTTTTACCCTTTGTAATGCTTTTTTTTTCCTTTCATTTTCTTGGTTCTACTGGGATCATGGTGATTCATTTTAAGGCCTATTAGGTTATATAAATATATTTTTGCTTGTTCCATGGTGTTTCCCTCTAGATTGCCTATAAAAGATACCCATTGCTTGTATTGTGCAGTGTCCTACGTCTTCTATTCTATGACATACAAATATATGTATATTGATGGATCGGCTATTCTGACACTACTGTTTGTTTACACTGGGAACCACAGTTTTGTGTTCAGCTCAAGGGGCTGGTTGGTGAATGTGGGAGACATTCAAGTGGGTTTGAGTAGAAATAATCCTCCTTGAAGGGTTGATCTGGGATCTTCAATCTCTCTTTAGGCTTTCCCATACGGTTTCCAGCATGAGCTGCCTTCATTATGAAACAAAACTCGCTCCAGCTTCGTTTCCCAATCTTGTATTGATCAATCAAGCTCACCAGAAGCTTTCTGTCTACTGTAATGGTTCTTCTGAATCCCAGGTACCTTTTCCCAAGGGTAACCAAGCCAAGTGATTCAGAGTTCAGACCATTATGAAAGGAAACAAAATTCATCAGCAGCAACTTGTAAACAACTTTATTTTTTATACCTTCGATGGCCTTCCACAGCATATGCCATGTTCCCACCGAATGTCGGAACAAAGATATCACTCTCCACTGCAACAATGTAGTCCAGAGCTGCCATTGCATTTGAATGGTTCTGAAACTGGCTGAGATCTGATGAATCGAGCAGTGTTTCCTTTCTTACCTGTATTTTTTCATATCATAAAGAATGAACCAGCTGACAAACAAACCATAGAATTTGAACAGTGGGAAAGTAATGATACCATGTTTGGGAAAGCTTCTGCCAGCTTTGCTATTCTGGCTTCTCCTCCGTATATTTCCCCAGAAGCAATATAGATCTGGATGTTTCTGTCAATCCCCAGTGCCTGCAACCCCAATGCAATTTCATCGGGCATTAATGGGCACAATCCAGCTTTCCTTTTCTTGCGAGGATCTGCTATGCTCTTCCACCAAGGGTAAGACTTCCTGTTTAATTTTGTTTATAAACTAGAATCACAATCTTCAACAAGCATTTGGAAAGCTATTTAACTTGCTGGGTTGCTGACCTCAATGTCATCACCTCCACAATCTCATCATGGGACAAACCAAGCGTACAACCAGTAAAGGACAACATATCCATCTCGTATCTCAGATGAATAACTAGGAAAGGACCCTTCTGCTTTAATCTTCTGACAATCTTTCTTCCCACCTCCTCAATATGAGGAGTGAATCTCAATGCTTCATAGCAGGCTCGACATCTGGTCTTTTGGAACTCTTCAGGGGGTCCATTGTTTGCAATCCTTGCATCTGCTTTCAGGAAATGCAGCACTTTGTGCTTTTGTATCTGAGGAAGGATCGTATTGTAGTAATACGACATGTTGGGAAATAAGATGGGTTCCATAGAAGTGAGAGGTTGTGATTCCAGTCTCCTCTTTTCCTCTGAAGGCAGTTCCTTCAGTATCCTAATCTCATCTGCTAATGACCCAATAAAGTAATCCGTATCGAAGATATCCTCGAAAGTACTGTTCATGAAACAAAATCTGGAATTAATAGACATACAGCATACTTTCATCTAGTCGAGGCAAAAGAACTATAGAACACCATCATGTGAGATTCTGTTTCACCTCTGATCATGCCAATAGGATGTGTTATCTAGCTCAGGAACTATAAGCGTGACATTCAAGAATCTAGCAATGGCAACCATGTCGCAGATCTGCTTTTTGTAACAACAATACAGCAGCCCAATCAGCTAAGACAGTATAGGGATGATAAAGGGAACTTAGCAGGACAGGCTTACACCGGTTCTCATCTGGTTCAACCCGCCATTGCACGAGACCATGAGGTAACCGTTATTTTGACGTACTACAAAAGAAGAGAAAGAAAATGAAAAAGTTGCAGACTTTTGAGTTTCTGGAATGGAAAGTTCTTGGCTATTTTCTGTTGACAGCTGATGCAATACTTGACTTACTTGCTGGTACAACAGATGGAATGTTAGGCCATTGCTTTAATACCACGAATCGATCCTTCAATGTTGCCGACTCCATAGTACAGATAAATGCTACCACCACGATTGCAGGTATTAGTAAACACAACTTTGAACGTGATTGTGGAGGAGAATGATTAGATGAAGGAGTAACTGTTGAATTGTGCAATGTTTCAGCTTTGCCCACTGGCTTAGATGCCTTTTCCTTCTCTAACAAGTCAGCAGACTCACATGGCTCATCTCTATCATCCTTTTCCTTCTGAGGCATTATGATAATAACTAAGATTTTGAAGATAGGAATACCTTACCAAAGTTAAGAGTTTATGCCCTGTCCTGGCTTGAACCCAGGAAATGATTCCTTGAAACAAAGTTCGAGGAACCACCTCTGGCAAACAGGCAGAGTGACGATTGTTTTAAGTGTATTTTCTCTTAAAAGAAAAGGGGTGAAGAAGTATTGATGAGATTTGGAAAATGTTTTTCATGTTGTTTCCTGTCCTGAAAGTGAACATGAAGCATTAACTAATTGAGGTTACCATTCATGAACATCAAACAATTGAATCTTGTTTCTTATTTTATTATTATTATTATTATATAAAAGCTTGTTTAATTCATTTGAATAGACCGCAAACAAAGAGAAAAACCATCCTGAAGAAACTTCAATGGAAGCTCTTCTTATGCTTCCGTACTTCATTCATTAGCCATTAATGCCAGAAAACAAAAAAGGTGATGAAGTTTTCAACCCGCGGGCTGACTCGGACCCGGTCGAACTAGTGGGTCAAGGGTTAATGGGTCACCCATTTTAGCCCGGAAATATGAAAATAGTCATTATATTGTACTTATCCTGATAAATTACATCAAATCTCATCTAACATATGAGTTATAACATATATTATTCCACCAAAATAACATGAACATATAGTGAAAATTCACACACACTTATATAACATATATATTCAAATGTTCAACTTAGAATTCCAAAGATTGAGTTAGGTGAAATGAAAAATCGGAAAATACGCGCATTTCGCAAACCGAAGAAAAAATGACACAATTTGACCTCCAACCTGGTACCTTGTAGCGGTTGACCCGGCGAGTGCGTGCGGCCCGTTTTTCTCACCGGGTTAGGGTCAAAATGGGTCGAACCGCGGGTTGACAACCTTGTAAACATGTCATAGTTAATCGTTGACATGTGTAAAAGATATTACATATAAAAATCATCTTGTACGAATAATTTGAGATTCCAATTAATGTAGGAAGACTTGACACTGAATCTTCTTGAGTATTGTTGAGATTCATTCAAAATGAAGAGAAGGAAGATCCCCACTTCTGACAAGGAAACTTAGCATGAAACAAGTTCTCTTGAACTTATTGGGGGCAATCCTTACTGTTAGAAACCCACATTATCCTTATTGTTATTTTTATTAATAACTAGGTTGTAAGTCCGTGCGGAGCGTTCAATTCTTATTTTTTAAAAAGTTTTATTTTTGTAAATACAGAGTAATATGTTAAACAAAATATAGATACTCACGCAGTATAATTTTTTAATTATATGAATAGGCAAATGAAATTTTATAGCCTAAGATAATCACATATCAACCCGCTAAAGAAAGGTAGGGTCGAGCCCCATCTAACCCAACCCAGACTTCAGCGGGTTTTAATAATCCTCCCCTCTTAAAGACTGACCTTGCCCTCAAGGTCGAATGTCGGATAATTCTGACGAATGGTCTCCGTGTCTTCTCAAGTGGCATCTTCGACCTCCACTTGTTGCCAACGGACCAAGCTCTCCTCCACCAGCTTCCAACCACGTCAAACCCAGCTAGTATCAAGCACCTCCAGCAGTGTCAGCTCCACCCTCCATCCTCGTTCACCGGTAGACTGAGCAGTGCCTCCGGTGTCTCAGCTCTTCGATATCTGCGCAAGGACGAGACATGAAATGTCTGGTGAATGTGTGTTGTCGCCGCCAGCTACAACCTGTACGCCACCTCTCCAACCCGCTCCACCACCTGGCACGACCCAAAGTTACGAGTGGCGAGCTTCTGGTAAGCTCTCTTGAACACAGACGTTTGGCGGTATGGATGCAGCCTGATTAGCACTCAATCTCCCACCGCAAACTCCTCCTCTAGTCGACTAGAGTCAACAAGTTGTTTCATCCAGTTATTCGAAGCTGCCAAATTTTCCCTCGGCCTTTGTAAAGTCTCATCTCTTGCCACCATCCAGCGATCCACGATGTCTACAGTGCTAGACCCGTCCGGGTACCGCACCAAAGTCGGTGAGGTTCGACCATATAGGGCCTCGAACCGAGTCTTCTGAATCGCGCGGTGATAGGTGGTGTTATACCAAAGCTCCGTCCACGACAACATAGCCAGCCACCCTTGCGGCTATGGATGCGCAAAGCATTGCAGGTACTGCTCCAGGTGCCTATTGGCCACCTCTGTCTGTTCATCTGATTGAGGATGATAAGCAAAACTCATCCTCAACCCCATTTTTGCCAAAGCGAATACCTCCTACCCGAACCGCCCTAGGAACAGTACATCCTGATCACAAACAATGGACCTAGGATACTCATGGTGCCTGACGACTACCCACACGAACTCTGCCACGATCATGTAGTATATGGATGAGCCAAGACCAGGAAATGTTTGTACTTGTTGAGTCGATCCACCACTACCAACAACACTGTCTTACCTCCCGATGGCGGTAAACCGACTACGAAATTCATGCTAATGTCCTCCCACACTTTCTCATACACCGGCAATGACAGACGATCATAGTAGGGAGGCATTGACATGTTGACAAGTCTCACATGAAGCCACATATGATCTCACCTCATTCTACATCCCTAGCCAATAAAACTATCCTCTTATCTTCGTCAAGGTGCACTATTGCCCCCAATACCCCTCGACGAGAGAATTGTGGTACCCTCGCATGATCTTCGTTGCTAGAGACGACCCTACAAGTAGTAAAACCTGCCCCTTGTAGAACATGATAACACTCAAAATGTTGTTATTTGGAAACCATATTTAGACTTGTTTTGAGTCATTTTATGTTCCTCATTGCCAATATATCGTCAAATATACCATTGAGTCGTTCCTCATATGAAATATTATTATTCTAGGGTGCATTAGATTATATGTATGATTTTGGTACAAAAAATGTGCACTTATGGACCAAAACCGAGAGATCACGGTTGAAGGCAGGGAGATCACGACCATAAAGAGATGATGTGGACCAATGCTAGAAGATCGCAACTGGCACGATCGAGATCGAGATCGTGGCCCCAAAGTTTGGAGCCGAGGTCGCAAACTTCAGGAGCAGCCAACGAAAGAGGTATAGAAAGTCTCGGCAATCGACTCGCGAACTCCGTTAGACCTATCTGCGACAAAGTTCGCGGCTGCAAAAGCAAGGATCGTGACCGCGATGCAGCCCGTGAACCCAACTACCAGCAAGGCGTAAATGGCAACCTTAACATCGCGGCCTCAACCTGAAAGATCACAAGCTGTTAGCACAAAAGGTGATAAACCTATACACTTAGTACAAAATGGTCACAAACCTTTAATTTTGCACGTTTCAATAACAAATGTTTGGACGAATAAAAAAATGTACATTCCGTCCATCTCCATCTAAAAAACCGTTACTTTTGCCTAGTCAGCATGCCACATCACTTAAAATATTAATGAAAAATCAATGGCCAGACCAAGTCAACCCAAACTCAACCCAACCGACCCAACCAGTTGTCAACTCAACCCCCTCATTGTCTTCTCCTACCCCACCCTCGACCCTACCTCTGCCAAAAACATCTCCTCACTTTCCCAAAATCTTTTGTCCAACGAACCTTCCCTTCACATCCAAACGAAATCCCCAAAAGTTGCATATTTCCGTTTATTCCCAATTGACATAGAACCAATTCCATAAGAACCCAACCAAAAAACAACTAGAAACCCATCGGTCCATCATGTCCAATTTGAACTCTTCACCTCCATATCCATAATTCTGCTCTCCACACTATCAATTCCATTAACAAAAAGAGGAGTAATATCCCCAATTCCAGCAACCTTTTGAGGTCTGAATCTGTTCCAACCAGGAAACCCCATCGCCATCAATTTCACGAATGTTGTTGATGTTAACGATATCAATCTCCTCTGTGCGATATTTGAGGGAGATGGGAAGACAGTGAGCTTGAAACCCCTATTTCATCTCGAGTAGGTAGTTCGACATCCAACAGGCATTTTGGGCTGGTCGTGAAGCTTTTGTCGGCTCCTACTCCAGTAATGGCAGGGGAAGGAGGGAGAGCGGCAGTGTGGAAAGTGGCAGTGGTGAGCAGCGTGGGGAGTGTGTTGGGGATTGTGCTACTGGGTTTGGCCGGTAACTTTTGGGGATTTCCACCTGATGCGAAGGGAAGGTTCGTCGGACTAAAGATTTTTGGAGAGTGAACAGATGTTTTGGCAGAGGTACTGTCGACGATAGGGTAGACGACGGTGATGAAGGGGTTGAGTCAGCAACTGGTTGGGTTGAGTGTAGGTTGGCTGGGTTTGGTCATTAATTTTTTATTAATATTTTAAGTGACGTGGTAGTATGCTGATTGGGCAAAAGTAACGGTTTTTTGGATGGAGATAGACGGAATGACATTTCCGTTAGTCATCCATACATTTGTTATTAAAACGTGCAAATTTTAATGTTTGTGACCGTTTTCACTAAGTGCATAGGTTTGTGACCTTTTGTGCTAATTACCCCAAAGATCACGCCCGTGAACTCGCCCAAAGCTTATAAAACTATAAATAGGGGCTTCCTCCCCCTAAAAGAGCTGAACTTGATTGAGAATTTCTGGTTTTAGGAGAGAGAAAGTTATAAAGAGAAGTTGAAGGAAGGAGAAGAGGGAAGAGGAGAAGGAGGAAGGGAGCTCTCTCAAATCAAGACTTCTTCTATTTTCTTCCATGTACCCTCTTCCCCCCTTTATGTTGTAGTTCTCTAGGCATTAGGGATGAAACCCCCAACACCCTAGATTTATGTTTTGAATATAGATGTAATTGTGTTAGGATTTATTAAGATATGTTTGTTTATTTATTATATGCTTCATTTATGCTTGATTATACTTGGGTATGTCTCCCAACTCTACCCTACTAACCTACAACTGAATTAACAATAAGTGGGAATTTTAGGGTTAGACTGGGTAGTGCCAGATGGCTAATTAAGGGTAGATGAATGATCTTTCGGGTTCCTTAGTGGACGTGGCTACATAACCCCTGCTATAAGAATTCCCTCTTAAAACAATCCTAGAGAGTTCGCATGCGTTCTGGTCGAAGCACAGATCTAATATGCATGATAAGTTAAACTTATCAAGAGGAACTATGAGATCATCCCTAGCATGTAAACTTAGACTGAGATGACATTTTGTGGG